GTATAGTCCCCACGTTAGTATACCCCCAAGTCCACTTTCCCAACCAATGTGTGGTCAGAAAAGAAAATTTGATATTCTATTGAATTTGTAACCCCCAAGAGAATATTGGTTGGGAACGTAGATTTGGGATGTACGTCTATATGAAACAAATCCGAAATGTCAATTTGGGACTCATTCAGTCGGAAATTGTGGCAGAAACATGAAAAAAATACGAAATAATAAAGTAACTTTATTGGATCTCCACCGCACAATTTAAATAACAAACAATTAATGCCCATCTTACGGTAATCGGGGTAAAAGAGTAATTTTTTTGGCTATTCTTCAAGTATGAGGTGGACAAAACTGAATACTACGCAGTACGGGATTTTAAACGTTGGAAATACAAAATTTCAAATTATAGCTCATTTGAATGCTTTTTACAATACCAAAAATTGAGTTGAATTTTCACATGGGGCTATTATAGATGTTTTTTTATCATATAGGTATTTAACACTCAAATTAAAGCCTATAGCTGAAAAATAAGATCAGGCTATTCAAAATATCTAAAACCGACGGTAATTATAATTTTTTCCATGAATATTAATTTATATTTAGTCATTACTCATAATCAAGTCATTACTTATAATCAAAATTGTGCCGCCTACATAAGTCAGATCTGTGATTTATTATGCTTTAAAGACTAAAAGTACGGGCCGGCAACGCGGACCGGGCCAGCTAACAATATATATAAACATACTTTGATCTAAATCCACTTTAGAGCATTTAACTTTTCAATTCGACTTAGTAAACTAATATATAAGAATACATCTATTAAATAATAAGAAATAGGTATATATGTAAAAAAATGAAAAAAAAAACTTAAAGTAAAATTTAAGCCAGACAACACAATTTTATATATTTCATAAAACTATTTGATTTTTACTAACCATAAATTATATTTTAAAAATATCGCTTAAGTCAAAAAAAATTTTCTATTTTTCGTTATTCTCATATAATAATTTTTTTACTACAAAATAAATTATAGAACAAAAATTGTAATCGTATTTAACAAGTAACGTTAAATATATTTGTAAGCATTAGTCTCTATACAAAAGAAAAAAATATGAGTAATTTGTAAACATTAAACTAAATTTTAAAAATATCCAGAACTAAGTAACTTTAAATGAAGCCAGCACTGACTTTTAATTGTAAATTTATATGAATAAAATTCATGAATTATAAAATTATATGAATTAAATTCAACTAAGAATAATCAATTTAAACCGTTGATTATTCTTTGTTAAAAAGGGAGGTCTAGTGTGTTTGATTCATCCATGTTGCCATACCATCCGTACGACAACGTATCATACTGGTTGACACATTTGTCCAAGTTGGCATACCTTCTGTATCCAACTAATGTTGTTGTTGTTGTAGCAGTAGTACATGCGTGTGTTTGTGTTCTGCTAATCTGGTTCCAGCTCCAGGTTTAGAAATTCGGCTACTTTAACGGGCTGTAGCCAGAGATCCTCTGGAGTGAGTTGGGTAGGTTTGGCTGAGCAATTAAAAAGGTGTAGCGTATTGTGCGGGCCTGTATCGCACGCCGGGCAGGCGTCACGCACATCTTCATCAATTCGTGCCCAATACGAATTGAGGCGACTACACCATCCTGAACGTAATTGCGCCAAAACTACCCTGGTTTGTCTAGGCAGCTGACGTTCTTCGGCTGCAATGGATGGGGGTGGACTCCGAGGACGGCATTCACTTTATAACTGCTAATAGCATCCGCGACTGCATCGGTGTGAATGCCACTCAGACCTGCCTGATAGGCTTCTTGATCTAGAGGCTCTCTCTTGTAGCGCTGGACCTCCCTCTCTAGATCATGTATGTCCTTCCTGACACGCCTGGGTGGGGGAGAGTTATCCACCATATGATGGTTGGGATGACTCTCACGGTAACACCCAAGCAGGTACTGCAACGAAAGCATATGATTATGCTGACGTAAGGGAAGGGACTTTCGCCTCCTCATGTAGATGGTCCACTGGTGTCATGAGGAGGCACCCTGTCGCAGTTCTCAGGGCAGCGTTCTGGCAGGTCTGGATATTCTTCCACTGCGTAGCACTAGTATTCGCAGACCACACTGGAGCCGCATAGTTGACCACAGACCGACCTATCGCGTTATAAGAGGTCAACAAGGTTTCTTTGTCCGCACCCCAAGAGCTGCCGGCTAGCGCCTTGAGGACCTTGTTCCTACTTTTCATCTTGTCGCAGATAGCTGTGGCTTGCGCGGACGACTTGAACATGCTGTCGAACGTTACCCCAAGAATCTTGGGGTAGTTCGTGGTCGGTATTAGATTCCCCTCGACCTGAACATTCAGCTGTGTTCTCATCTCCGCAGACCATGTGGTAAAGAGTGTGGCCGTTGATTTCGTGGCGGATATTTTCATATTCCTCGCGTGGAAGTATGCGGCAAGCTCCGCAATATAGGGGTTCAACCTTTCGCATATGTCATCGACCACTGGACCCGACGCCATGATCGTACAATCATCCGCATACGTTACGATCTCAATGCCGTCTGGAGGGCGAGGAATTCCGGAAAGGTAGAGGTTAAACAGTTCCGGAGATATCACCCCGCCTTGGGGAACTCCCTGTTTCACTCTACGGGCTTTGGACTTCTTGTTCCGGAATTCCACGTACGACTGGCGTCCACACATATAGTTGATTATCCAACGTTTCAAACTTGGCCGGAGGGTAGTTCTCTGTACGTCCTCAAACAGTGTGGCATGATTGACCGTATCAAACGCCTTTGATAGGTCAAGGGCTACCAACACTGTTCTGTCACACGGCCTGTTCTGGTTCAGTCCTCTACTAATATGTGTGGAAATGGCGTGTAATGCTGTTGTGGTACTATGTTGTGGACGGAATCCATGCTGGTGGTTGGCAACTGTATAGCTTCCTCTAATGCTGGGGAGGAGTAAAGCCTCAAGAGTCTTAGCTACTGGCGACAAAAGCGAAATCGGCTTCAGTAGCGGGACCACCCGGCCCATTTTCCAGGTTTCGGGCACTATGTAGGTGGCTAGCGACAAATTGAGAACTTTCGTTAAGTACTCGACTCCCGGCGTATCCAGCTGCTTCAACATTACCATTGAGATTCCGTCCGGGCCCAACGCTTTGGATGACTTAGCGTTACGGATGACATTTGCAACATCACCCATCGTAAACTGTGGTGGTTCCTCCTCGGCGGGAAGAGATCTGATACGACGTAGTACTCTTCGCTTCGCCCTATCGCTCACGGGGTGCTCGACAAATTGTCGGTTAAAATATTCCGCGCACCTCTTCGGATCAGTCACCGTTACGTCGTTAAAAGTGACTGAGGTCCTATCATCCTTTTTTCCAGGGTTCGAGAGCGATTTAACCGTTACCCACAGCTTACTCATATCGGTTCCAATGTTGCAGCACTTCAGATGGTCTAGCCACTTTTTCCTCTTATGCTCCTGTACCAACCGGTTGACTTCCACTGTCAAATCACTGATTCTAGGATCAGTAGGGTTGGTACGACGGAGATCATCACGCTCATTTGCTAATCCCGCTGCCTCTGCTGGGAAGTTTGGTCTTAACTCGGGTATTCGACCAGCAGGTATATAGCGAGCGGCTGCAGCTCTGATGATGTTTCGGAAAATCCTTTCTGCTACCCGAACATCAGAAGGGTTGGGCAGTTCTCTGAAGCGGCGGTTGGTGAATTCTCTGAACTCTGGCCAGTGAGCTTTCCCATGGTTAAGGAAAGTGCGGCGTTCAGAGGTTATGAAATCGGGCGACCTGCTTATGGAGACGATTATCGGGAGATGGTCTGAGCCAAGAGAAATGACGGGTTGCCAAGTCACGTCATTTATCAGACCGGGTGACACTATGGTTAAGTCCGGCGAACTGTGACACTCTCCTCTTATTCGGGTGGGGGCATCCTCGTTAACCGTGCAGAATGTGGAGCAGTCAATCTGCTCTGCCAGCGCTGATCCCCTCTGGTCATTACCTAGGACGGAATGCCACAACTCATGGTGGGCATTAAAATCCCCTAGTACCAGGCGGTTATTGCCTACCAATAATGGGCTAATATCAGGCAAATAACGCGGTTCACAGCTATTAATCGGCGGGATATACACATTAAGCACCTCTACCTCGGCAGTTCCACACTTGACTGCTACCCCCATACATTACATGTAAAAGGGGGGGGAGGACGCTGACGTATGCCAATAGGCATATGTCGGCAAGCCAAAGACGAAATTAAAAACAAGATTTTCCGGACATAAGCCGGATCAAAAAATTGACAAGCCTCTCGAACAAAATACTGCTCTAACTGCCCATTGCACATTGACAAGACATAAACCCAACCTTAAATACGTCGACATATTGGCACAAGAAAAAATTACAAAAGACGATTTACATTGGAAATGTTACATGTTATTACCAAATAACAAACGAATTAATTATAAAATCGATACAGACCACTGTGTTTACATTTACAGAAGCCTAGTTCATAAACACCGACGAAAGAAAACTTATGTGGCGTTGTAACTTCACTTGGTTCGCTCTGTATTCGTTGTTTGGCCCTTAACTATGAACAAACTTCCTAAAATTTGTTCAAAATGTCAACATGTATACAAAAAAGTTGAAAACGTGAATGAAAATTGTAAAATTAATTATAAAATAAATCTTTGGGAGAAAAACAATAATTTCTTCTATTCATATTAGTGAGAATTCATGTATTTTAGTATAAATTCCCATTAAAAACAGCAAACAACATTTTTGAAAAAAATGAATTATTTTATTATGAATTACGATTCGTGACGTATGAACAGGTTAATTCGTGTACCTAATTCTGAGAGCGAACAACGTGATTGAAAGTGTAATGAGAATATAGCATAAGCTTCATAGTGACAGCCAAGCTATTAATTAAATAAGTAAAATACTTTTAAAATTGTTAATAGTAATAATAATAACAATAATAATAATTATATTTTAATACCTACATTCAGGTAGTTATGTTGATCTTCCATGGTATCTGGCACAATGTATCTTGCAGGCACAGTTTGTTTAGTAGAAAAGGGCCCATAACTAGCTCTTATCGATACAGGTTGTGTGGTTTGAACTACTGTGAAACGATCAACAGATAGAATAGAATCATAAGTTGTACGCGTTCGTAGAGGCGGCAAAGGTGAAGAGTGGCTGGTAGATATCTCTGGAGAAACTGGTGGCTGTCGAGCATGTTTCAAAAAAAAGCCGCTGTCTGCCGACTCAAAGTGAACTTCCACGCCCTGGCATCCGCCTGAAAATATATATTTATTATTTATAATCGGAATTACATTAATTAGAAACTTATGTTGATAAAAAATAGGATCTACAAGTTTTTAGTGGACACATATTTAGCTGATTAATTTATGTATTGTGCATTTTTGCTAGCATTCATGTGATCATCTTCTATGTATTTCAATAAAACTCAATGTTTGTATGTGTTAGTAAACCTATTAGTAGAATTCAGTGGATTTCAATTCAAACACATACTGTTGAACCGACATTTTAAATCCAGATTGGTTTTCCTTTCAAGCACATGAATTTGAAGGAAATGGTCGATTAAGCGCTAATTCGACTAACTTTCTGTTTATATGCATTATTTTCTTAACATTGTTTTAAAAGTAATATTAATAAATGATGACAGAATAAAATATTTTGCATACAACATGCCTTAATTAAATTTTCAAACATAGCAAAGCCAATGATCGAATTGTCAGTGAACTTGAATTAAATAAATATTAGGTTAACATAAACAGAACTGCAAGAATGTCAACGGCTATTATTTTTACCATTTTTAACTGAACTTTAGAATGAATGCTGTATTTGCAAATTAAAGAAAATAATACTCAAAAATAAAAGAAAGAAATAACTGTATACATATCTTTGTGTGTATGTTTAATTGTTTTTACTCCGCCGCGTTGACATCGTTCAATCAGCTGCAATATCAGTTGTTGATTGATAAGACCTTAAAGCTGGTGTAGGTGTAAATGGAGTCACTTTTGTTTGTAATTTTAAACGGAGTCTCCAAACCAACACGCCGAGCAGAATGATAAGGAAGCAAAGGAAAGAAGTGTAGCTAACCGCATGATGATGTAAACTTTTTGAGTAGATTAGTTGAGGCAAATGCCGTAGTTGTGATTCATTTGATTGTTTTTGTAAATTATCCCACACATCGAGACGAATCTTAAATGGAGTGGTGTTGGTATATATTAAAACCTTTTCTATATCCTGTTGTTAACTTAATGAATGTATGTCTTTTAGTCTAACAAAGGAATGTGTAGGTTATTTGAAGCTTTAAAATGACGATGAATGGTAATAAACTTTTTTTTATCACGCAGTTGGGACCAATTTCCATTATCCAACATTTTTTAAGGTGATGAGGGAACTTTCCGTTCCACATACATGCAAAACTGTCGTTCCTGTAATTCTTTTGAGATTGCAATGGTTTATCGATTGGTTATTAAACATATTGATCTCGCAGCGACTGACAACTAAATTTCTCCTAATTTTGAGTTGCTGATTTTGGCAAAGATTTCTAGTTTTGCCTTGTTGATAGTCCGTGAGATTTCTTCAGCATAGTCCGCATAAATAACGCCAAATATTGAACACACAGTGTTACCAACTATGTTGAATAGAGATCTCTTAAAGCATCTTTAATAAATAACTCATTTTCTTGAAGCAATTCATTTTTTATCTGATTAAGGTTGTTCAAGAAAATATTGCACATCTCGTGCTGATGTATTTCGAGACACATTAGCTGCAAGTTTGCAAGCCAGATAATTTTATTTTAGATAAAAAGGGTGTTAAATCACTGTTCCCATTCCTCCAAAATACAGTCCCGGATCATTCTGAAATTTTTAAACTTGTACTTGCACAGTTGTTGTTAAATCATCAAAATACCGAATATAAGGTGGTACCATGGGAGTTATAAAACGTGGACCTGCACAGACAATTTTCTGGCATATGTTGTAGTATCCATTACGAACTTCAAATACAAAATGTCGAACTTCAAATACAAATGATGTCGCTAAAATCATCAAAATACCGAATATCGGGGGTACCGTTATATGGGCGCTATACGAAGACGTGGACCTACATGACCCATTTTCTGTTTTATGCTGTAGTATCTATTACGAACTTTAAATACCAAATTTGAAACAATTCCGGTAAATAATGTCGCTAAAATCAGCAAAATACCGAATATCAGGGGTACCGTTATATGGGGGCTATACGAAGACGTGGACCTGCGCAGACAATTTTCTGCCATAGGCTGTAGTATCCATTACGAACTTCACATTCAAAATTGGAAACAATTCCGGTAAATAATGTCGCTAAAATCATTAAAATACCGAATATTGGGAGTACCGTTATATGGGCCTACAAGGCCACTTTTCTGTTTTATACTTTAGTACATATTACGAACTTCAAATACCAAATTTGAAACAATTCCTGTGAATAATGTCGCTAAAATCATCAAAATACCGAATATCGGGAGGCACCGTTATATGAGGGCTATTCGAAGACGTGAGCCTACATGGCCCATTTTCTGTCTAAGGCCGTAGTATCCATGACGAACTTTAAATACCAATTTTGAAACAATTCCGGTAAATAATGTCGGCGAACACATTTACAATTCTGGCCATTTCATCGGAGGAAAATTGTCTTCCTTTGTAATGACCATATCTCCTTTCATAAGATTGTTCATCATTTTCTTCCATTTCTAACGTTGTTGCAGTTCTTGTAAATATTCCTCCTTTTTCCAGAATTGCTGCCGAATTTGTGAAACTAACTTCTAGTGGGAGGTGCTGGACATTTTCAACGTATTTGCTCTGCTTTCTGCTTGCGAATTTAGAGCTTATCCTATTAGAAAATGTCCCGGCGTCAGTGCTTCAAGAATTACTGGATCGTTAAATAGAGGTGTAAGAGACCGCGAATTCGGGATAGCCTCAATTTCCACGATGATAGTTTCTAATTATTCATATGTTAGTGATTCTGTTGTTATACTGCGTACCAAGAGACGTTTTGCGGATTTCACTGCAGCTTCCCATACACCTCCTAAATGAAGTGTCTTCATGGAATAAAATGAAATTGTATGCCCCTAGCACTTGCAGCGGAAATAAATTAATCTTGTGCATTCTTTGCCTAAATGTTTTTCGATAGTAGCATTATCAGAATATATGTTTTGGCAATGCCCGCGGCGAGCAATAAATCGTTTGAGGGCAACAATGAATGATTCAGTGCATAAGTCATAGAACTGCTTTTATTGCAAAGGATCAAAACACAGCTACATATGCCTTAGTTGGTCATTTGCCCCTCACCTTGTAATGTACCCAAAATGGGCCGCAATAGTCCACTACACAATTTATGAATGGTCGAGCAGGAACCACCCTTGTTGGTGGCAGATGGCCCATCATTTGTTAATATAGTTGTGGTCGCACTCTGGTACACCTGATGCATTTTTGAACAGTGGGTCATGCTGTGTGGGGGTTGCTTGCTGCCTTGATTGGGCAAAATCGCTGCCTTATTGTGTTCAAAATTACCGGGTCCATAATGCTTGTTCTCCTCTTGAGTCATCTTAAACAGTATTTTTACCAGCGGATCGTAATATGGCAGAATTATTAGGTGTTTCGCATCTAGCTGTAGCATAGAGTGTTCCAATCTGCCTCCTACATGAAGAATGTCAGAAAATGGTGATAGACTGTATGGGGAACTATGTTTGTCAAGTTGATTCTCAGCCTTCGACTCTTTAATCTTAGGTGAAAATTCTGAAGATTGCATAGCATGAGTATTAAGGCGAAGAGAGCCGTCTAATTCTTTGGAATTAAGTGCGATGTGAAAACATCCATCAGGCCGTTGCGTCTTTGGTATCCGTGCGTTTCTTGTGAATCTAAGCACGTATGCCACAATTTCCTGAATGAATTGTTGTGTTCTATTTCATATATGAAATGGATTTCAACATTGACTATTGCTGTAGTAGCTTCAGCTTTAAACTCCATTTTATTATTAAAAACACCTTGAGAAGAGACCGGTCATAGCTCTTCTTTTCCATGAAGAAAGACAAGTCCATGAAACCAAAACCGACATTTAGACAGATCTGTCGGTTTAAGTCATCCTGGTAGAATGTCGGCAGGTTTATCTTTGGATGGGACGTGTTTCCATTGTTCTGGTAATGTTAATGTTTGGATAACTGATACACTATTTGCTACAGGTTTTGTATAAGTTTGACTGCGATTTTATCAAGGCGAGTACGATCTCAGAATCTGTCCATAGAGAAATAGGATGAATTTAAAGCCTTAGATCAGCCTTTACTCTGTTAGCCAGCTGAGCTGCTACCACTGCGGCATATAATTCTAATCGGGTAGTGTTTGTTGTTTCAAAGGAGTTATCCTGGACATAGCACAAATCAGACGTACATCTACGCCCCCGTCCTTTGTAATAAAGCGAATGCAAACAGCAGCGCCAAAGGCTTTTTCGGATATTTTTTAATCTGAATCTCTCCACAAAATTCATGTCTTGGGATGTTGAAATTGTTGAGACCATCTAATTCAGTTCGGAATGCTTTCCACGTAGCGCAAAGTTTTTCGGTTAATGGTTCATCCCAATCTAATGTAAGTTACCACAGCTGCTGAATAAATATTTTTTGCTTTCACAACAATTGGTGCAAGTAGACCAAGAGAGTCGAAAAGTTTGGCGAGTTCAGACGTAACTGAGCGTTTTGTTACTACTTGGAGATCATCAATATGTACCTTTACGCAAAATTGATCGGCTTGCGGCATCCAATATAATCCCAATGTTTTAATGGTTGTTCTTATATTTTCGTTAAAATCCAAGTTGACTTATAGATCACTATGTGGTATATTCTTCAGCAGTATTTGAGTATTTGAAGACAATTTTCTAAGATTGAAGCCGAGTTGCTTAAAAATAGTAATTAATTGCCTTTGAGTCTCAATAGCTGTACTTAGGCTATCGACACCACTGAGACCGTCATTCATATACAAATTTTCACTGAGCGTTTGTGATCCAAGTGGATAACGATTCGTGTTGTTCTCTGCAATCTTCTGTAAACATTTTGCAGCCAAGTATAGTGCTGTCCGTGTACCATAAGTTACAGTGTTTAGCTTGGCCCAGTGTACGTTAACTCATTTAATGAATAACCTAAAGACGTTTTTGCGGATGCATCATATACGACCCTTAGTTTGATTGTAGTGCCGGGAGCAAGCACGATATACACACTTAGTTTAGTAAACACTAATT